TTTTATGACTTTTGACTAAAACATTGCTGATTTTCTTCTAGGTTTTTCTTTTCTAGTTTTAAGGATTTCTGCCCTGTCTTGAGCTGTTGATAGGTTCATGTACTTACTATTGGACAGAATCCTAACCTGTTTCCTGGCTTTAAGTTGTAAGCAAAGTTCCTTAGCATTTCTTTGATTTATTAAAGTTAAAACTGCTTTTCTTGAAATTACCAGCTGAACTTGCTATCAAAAGCAGTTAGATTATTTAAGAGATTGTGTGATCAATAAAATGTGGGGGCAAAAGGAATGGAAAATAACTGTAGACACCAGATAGAGTGTGGTAGGAGGGTGGAAAAGGGCAGAGGGTCAGAAATAGGGTGAAAAAAAAAATATATATATATATATGAAACTAGAAATGGAAAATTATTGATGATAACATGCATGATAAAGCCACTATGCGGTATACTCTAGATGGGAAATCACATTTGTATGCTATGATGATGCTTAGAGAGTGAATGTAAATTAATTTAAAAAAAAAGTTTCAGAAAAAAAAGCTCATGGAAATACATGTAATGAGAAAACTATGTATGAATTTCAAAAAGTTTTTATACCAAAATAAATTCACACTTTAAATGTAAAATAATAACAATAATAATAATAATAGTTAATACCTCTCTCAGATAGTAACAGACTCCTCACTGTTTTAATTAAATTTTCTGGAAAATTCAAAAAAATATGTATGTATATAAACAAAACCACAACACAGCCAGATTACTAACTTTCCTGGGGCATAATGCACCAGTTTTAAAATCTTGTATCTATGATTTCTCTCAAGTATCAACCTTCAGCTTGATAAGAAATTAATCCCTTAGGGCCAGCAGGTGGCATGGTGGTTAAGGTGCTGGACACTCCCACATGGCTGACGGAAGTTTGAGTCCCAGGCCTGGTGGCTTGCTTTCTCACTTTCCCTCTTAGTGTGTGTGTGTGTGTGTGGTCAAATTAAAATAAATTAATGAATAAATAAAAATTAAAATGAAAACCTCTTTTTTTAAAAAGAAAAAAGAAAGAAAGTAATTAATTCCATAACCTACTTTGCTAGCCTCATCTCACCTCTTAATCTTTTTTTAAAAACTCTTCCATGCTCTTTCAACTGAATTCATGTTGTTTCCTTGGCTTACAAGTCTTCTCAGGACCAGAAGATGGCATCATGGTTAATTCCTAAATGGTCAACCAAGTCCCAGATCTGACGGCTTGCTTTTTCACTTTCTCTCTCTGTCTCTCTCTGGTCAGTGTAAATGTCCTATAGCAAAAATAAATAAACAAATAAAGGTTAAAAAAATAGTATTTCTCAAACTGAATTAAAGTGACAAAACATCTGACAGTCTCAGTGTTCTTTCCAGAATACTAGAAAACATTGATACAGAGGGCTGGTCTGTGGCCAAGTGGTTAAGGGAGTCAACTCCATTTGAACTGGCCAACTGCACATTTCAAATCCTGGCACTAGCAGCTTGAAAAACAAGTCTGGTGTGATCACGCATGCACAGTGGGCTCCAGAGTGTGGCCAAAGGCTAGAAGCAGCATGACAACAGAGCACAAGACTAAGCTGTCTAAGAACCTGCTGTGCATTAAGGAGTTTCATAAAAAAAAGAACAGAGTTTCTTGTTATGATATTCTTCTCTACAAGATTTAATCCTGAGGTTGAGGCACTGATGCTTCAAATAAATGCCAAGAACAAAGAAGTTGAAGATAAAACAGTGGAGTTTGATGTGTCAGATGAAGAAATGGCTAAAAAATAGGAGACCATGGTGGAGACAACTGGAAAAAAGTTTGCCGAGAAGAGAGATTGGGCTGGTTATGAACATGAAAATGTAGACATAAAACCAATTAAACCAAAGATGTTCTTAAAGCCTCAAGATGAAAATGTGTGCCTTAAAACATGGCTCAGGGATGCCATGTGAAAAGTTGTAGCTTATTTTTGAGCTCATCCTGATACTGCCTCTATAGTTACTTGTATTGTGATGTTTATTTGTAAAGGAATGTATGACTTTGGAAACATGCTGTTTTGAAACAGATGTCTTTCAGATGGTATACATCCTTTGCTTAATAGTGTTCATAAAGTGAATTTTCAGCCCTTGGTCTTCAAATGTACACAGAGGGGCCAGTAAGTGGCATGGTGGTTGGGGTGCTAGACTCCCACACAGTCGACAACAGTACAAGTCCTGAACCTGGCATCTTGCTTTCTCACTCTACCTTTCTCTCTGTCTCTCTTGTCAAAGTGAATAATAATAATAAATACAATTAAATAAACAATTCTTTTAAAAAATTTTATGTAGATATAGGGTTGCTTTCTAAAGATTTTTTTTTACCTCATTTTTAAAAATACAGATACTAACCTTAAATTGATTCATGCAAATTAATCCCCATGTTTAACTTGCCTTTATGTTTATATTTCACTTTACATTGTTAATCATATCAAGCCAATTCATACATCTATTTTGGAGAATTTAGTATACATAAATTTATCAAGAACATACCTGGGACCAGCAGTTAGCGTAATGGCTATGTCGCTGGACTTCCACGTAGTCAACCATAATGCGCATCCTGGACCCGGTGGCTTAAACTCACGCTGGGCACATGTGCATGCATGCCCAAGATCCGGAGAGGAGAAAGGAGGAGAAGGGATTGCAGTGTGGCCATCCCCCCGGGGGGTGTGATTCCTAGCTTTCTGTCTCTCTGTCTCTCTCTGTCTTCCTGGCGAGTGCACGCACACTACAGCAGAAACCTCTCAAAAAAAATAAAAAAAGAGAGAGAACATACCTCTCCAGCCTTAAGTATTTGCATACCAGATCATTTTCTCTTTTTAAATTATTTGTTTAATTTTATTTATTCATTCATTTATTTTTAGTTTAAGCAGAGAGACACAAAGAGAGGAAGAGAGAAAGTGAGAAAGCAAGCAATCAAGTCCAGGACTTGAACTGTGGTCAGCCATGCGGGAGTGCTGTGTACACAGCACCTTAACCACCACTCCACCTGCTGGTCCCATACCGGATCATTTTCAATTTATGGTTTACATTTAACACATTTACTTAAAAATAATAATTTTTTAAGATTTATTTCACTTTATTTATTATTATTTCTTAATTTGCTATAGGACACGTGCATTCACCAGAAAGAGACAGAGAGAGGGAAAGTGAGAAAGGAGCCAGTTGAACCATGGTCATTCATGTGGAGTCCATCACCCCAACTACCATGCCACCTGCTGATCCCAATAATAACTTTTTTTTGGGGGGGGGCGGTTAATGGTTTTTGCTATAGGGTGCATGCGCTAGCCAGAAAGACAGACAAAAAGCAAGAAATCATCCCCGGGGGGATGGCAACACCGCAATCTCTTCTCCTCTCTGGATCTTGGGCACGCATGCACATGCACCCAGCATGAGTTTAAGCCACCGGGTTCGGGATTCTAATCGCAGTCAACTACATAGGAGTCCAGCGACATAGCTATTACGCCAACTGCTGGTCCCAAAAGTCCTGTAATTTTAAAAGAAAAACAAGACAAAAACAAAAAATGAAAAAAAAAAAAAAAAAAAAAGTCTCTGGTGCCGGAAATCTCATCAGGATGGAGGAATGAGGGACTGCAGAGTTAGCACACCCAGTTTTGGGGGATCAGTGTTTTCTCCTTCTCCAACCCCCATTTCTCTCAAGCAAGAGTAGAGCTCTCTGGGAAATTAAAGAAAGAAAGAAAATTAAAACGTTGATACAGAAAGCCCAGTGTAATAATACACAACAATGTTAAAGCTACTTCCATCTTATACTAGATTCTAGAAAAGATGCATGGAAGTAAACCAAGTAAGTAAAAACAGTTCTTCTGCAGGTTGACTAATGACAAGGTCATCATCATAGATTAGCAGCAGAGCATTCTCTCATGGAAGCAGCACTCTTTTTTAAAAAAAAGCAAATGGGAGATCAGCAGTTGGCATAATGGCTTTGTACTCGACCATGGTTCGAGTCCTGGACCCGGTGGTTTAAACTCACTCTGGGTGCGTGTGTGCATGCCCAAGATCCAAGAGGAGAATGGAGAAGGGATTGTGGCGTGGCCATCCCCCCTGTGGGGGTGATTTCTCACTTTCTGTCTGTCTGTCTGTCTGGCGAGTACACGCGCCCTATAGCAAAAACCTCTCCAAAAAAAAAAGGCAAATGATATGGAAGGCCTCCTACTCCCATTCTTTCATCTGTCAAAACTTTACATAGCTAGCCACAAAAAGACTGAAATCATCCTGCAAATACACACACACTACAGTATAGCTGCATGGTGAAACACTTACACAGCCGTTAAAAATGATGAGGCAGTTTGACAAGATGATTTGGAACAACTTCCCAAAACATACTAGGAGAAAAATGCAAGGAGAATAATAGGTATACTAGGCTACTATTTCCGTGTGTTTCAGGATAAAATCCATACCCCTCTATAAAGACGAAAAAGGAGAAATGGGGCTGGCAGGTGGCATAGTGGTTAAGGGCGCTGGACACCCACATGTCCCACCACGGTTCAAGTCTCAAACCTGGCAGCTTGCTTTCTCATTTTCCCTCTTCTCTGCCTCTGGTCAAATTGAAAGTCAGAATGATTTAAAGTTAAATAAAATAATTTAAGTTATTAAAAAAAAAAAAAAAGGACGCATAATCCCTAAACATGCCTAGACCATTCTGTCAGGTCCCAGGAGACCCTGGTGACAGCGCTACAGAGAGGGAGACGTCGTATTCCACCTGTCGGTTATCTACCTCCACGGTCATTTGTACAGGAACTTACCTCGGGCTCTCTGGAAGTCCGAAGCCCAGGAGACAGGGTCCGGCTCATCTTTAGGTCCCTCACGCCGCTCCCCGACGCGCCCGGCGTTTCCGCAGCAGCCTGGGGGTGTGGAGCCAGGCCGGTGGCCTCTTCGCGCGGCCGCCCAAAGGCGGGGGGCGTGGAGAGGGGGTAATCCACAGGTCGCCTGACAGGACTCGCCTCCCGCACCAAGGCGCCTTCGGGATTTCTTTCGATGAAGAGTGAGAGAGAGGGGTCACCAGGCTCCTCCTCGCGCCTCACCGGCAGCAGGAGCAGAGTGGAAGGACACGCGCTGCGACAAGAGACTGACAGCACGAGACGAGGTTACTCAGTTTGCGCAGCCCGCGCTACCAGTCTGGTATCACCGCCGGAAACCGATCCGTGCGCTCCCGGAAATGACGCAATGGATTCGGTACCCGCCCCCTACTTCCGCCTCCAGAGTTCCGCACGCACGTCTGCACGAGGTGAGGACGACATGGAGGCCTCGGCTTCCCCTGCTGTGTCCGATTCGGGTGTGCCCGCGGCCTCGCTCGCGACTCCTGCTGTCCCCACCTCCCTGGACCAGTTGGACGAAGGGCAGGTGAGTGGCCCTGGATCGGGGGCTCGGAAGCGGGATAGCCGTGGTTCTGTCAGGTGTGGGGGACCGAG